CCCTTTAGAGCTCCCCCCAAGGACACAGTGAGTATATACCTGTGACGGTCATGCTGACAGTGTTATATTACATCACCTCACTTGTTTGGACTGTTTTACTTATTGGACTAATCATTGTAATCATAAAACTTTTATAGTTACGGAGGGTCTTCCGTGAGTGTGAGTGCTGTTGTCCTTGCCAGGCCCTATGGGGCTGCCAAACCAGTAATTCTGATAATACTGGGCCCGATCTTGGAACAAGAACCTACCAGTTACAGAGTGCTAATTGGGCAAACTAAATCAATACTATAATCACTAAACAATCAATACGTCAGACAACAGGTGTCCCTGGGTAAGCCCTGAGAGGCACATGGCAACTCCTCCTAGACTGGAGTCAAGATATCTCACTTCTGGAAGATTTAGAGTTAAAAATAATATTTAGTCTGTGGTGAAGATTTAAATGCCTGTTTGCTGCAGTAGCATGGTACTTCCTCTTTGGTTTCTTCTTGGTTTTGTTGTGCTGTTCCTCATGTGGTATTTCTTCATTTTTCTTGCTCAGCTTATATAATTAGAGGAAGAGTTGGAGCGCACTCTTGGCCAGAGAAGGGGGAGGGAGAAGGCGGCGATTGGGTGATCACTGTTTTGAGTAACAATTGGTAAGGAAGGAGAGTTGTTTTGTTTGCTTGTTACATAGGAGTCTTGTTGTTGCTGAGGGAGTGAGCGTTAGAGACACCAGCCACAGGAATAGAACCAAAATAAGGAAAAGGCTCCCGAATAAGAAATAAGTGGTTGTACAGGACCCTGTAACCCATACTTAGCGGTGGCAGAGGAAGCTGATTTTCTTCTGTAAGGAACAACATAATACAGAGCATAACTGTGGTGGTGTCTGTAACAGTTGAAAGGTCCCAGAGCGCCTCTGGACTGTTCCCCTTAATGGTGGTCAGGTATGAGTATGCGGATTTACCCTGATCCCACAGCGACCTTGGTGGAAAGCTTGGGGCAATAACAAAAGAGGGAACTACCCTGACCCTCTATTGATGTAATACTTTTTTGGGACCGTAAGGGATAAGAAAGGAATACACGCAGACCGGTCAATAAGGCGAATGAGAAAAGCTAGGTATGGGGAGGTGGGGATTGACTCCGCTACACAAGCTTATAAGTGTTTTTGTTGTTGAAGCAATTGTAATATATTTTGGGGGGAAATGAGTATCAGGGTACACAGTGTTCAGTGGTGGCTACAATCCCTTTGGCCTTGCAATTGTAGTTATATGTGTTCAAATACATTGAGGCAGCTGTGGTCATGAACAGGGACAAGACGTTTTTGAGCAACTCAACAGGCTTTCTAGGTCATCTGTTTGAAGCAAAGGCGATTAAAGAAAAGGGCAAGGAGATAAAAGGCGCAGCTGTAGAGTGTCAGTTTGTGGCAATGTGTTAGGGCAAAGATTAAGGAGAAAGGTAAAGCAACTTGGCCAGGTGCAACAGGAATTAAAGAAGGAGAGGAGGTTCTTTAAGGTTAAACAAGCAACTAGGGTCATTGAGACAGACACACCTCACTCTTACCCATAAGCAGCAAGAGTTGGAGGATACGTTTGAAGGAAGTAAGTGTGAGATGGGGGAAATCTGGGAAGGTGCATGTGTGAGGCATCTGAAGGTGATTGAGAGCTTGAGGTCTTTTGCAGAGCGTAGGGTAGAAACGGGGCAGCTGCTAGAGCACATTAATGGGTTGCAAAGTTCTTGTCATGAGCTGGAGACAGCCATGGATAGGGTGAATCAACAAGTGGTGACAGTCACAGCAGGAGCCTCTTCTGGGAGCTCACAGGCTGTAGAAAAGCTGAGTATTCAAGAGCAAGTGATTCCTTTGAAGGTTGCCAAGATGGAGGATGCAAGCAAGGAAGGGAGTCAGCCAGCTGTTCCCATTAGTAGGTGGCTCTGGACCTGGAGACATCAGTACCTCTGGGGCTTGTCACTAGAAGCAGAGCTAAGCAGATGGCAGAGCTGGAGGAATCTGCATTGGTTGCAGTAGGCTATAGCAACACAGCACACCTGGCAGGGAGTGTAAGGAAGTTGGCAGTTTCAGTACAGTGGGTGGTGTGCAGGCTGAAAGGGTGATAAAAGGGAGGCGACAGGCAGCTCAGAGAGAGACGGGGGTGATTGGAAGCAGCAGTGGAAGAGAGATATAGTGCTTCAGAAGGATCAGATCAGGAAGATGTAGGAGGCAAGACTGGCTCAGAAGTGGTGGTGACTGTGGACAAGGGGTGTAGCCCATACTTTCCCAGGAAAGTAGTAGCAAGCCAGCCTTTGTTTACTAGTCTTGTTGCGGGGCTGGAAAGAGTTACAGCAGAAGTGAAATGAGCATTGGCTGCAGGTGATGATTTTATTGAAAAAAAAAATCCAGTGAGGACTCTATGGAACCACCTGCCCTTGCACCTGTTTTATGCTATCGGACAACCCCTCTTGAGCACATGAAGACAAGGCTGGCTTGCCGGCCATTCTGCCTAGATCACTACCCCAGTCTAGGGAAGGAAGCCAAACAATCAGGCGTTTGACTTTGACTGTTCCCATTGCTCACTCCCTCCGCCCTGCCTCTCCCCTGGGGACGATGAAGAGCTGGAAAGAGTCCCAGTTGGGATTATAGTGATCACCAGTTGTGCCTCAGGGATTCTGAGGTTGACCCTGCTATGAATGGTCTAGTGACGAGGAGATCGGATGCGAAACCTCTCCTTTTCCCATAGCTGTGGTCACTGATGTAAAAACATTAGATTTTGTAGCCAAGTCTGCTGGTCCTATGCAAAAAGGAGGCGGTGGCTGTGAATGCCCAGCATCTGGAAGCCAGAGCCTCTATGCTGCAGAAACTAAAAGATGTAACACTCCGGTAGCATCAGTATAAGGGTCACAAGTGAGCTGTGGCTCACGAAAGCTCATGCTCAAATAAATTGGTTAGTCTCTAAGGTGCCACAAGTACTCCTTTTCTTTTTGCAAACACAACCTGTGGTTATGATGGAAGGAGCCCCCAGCCACCAGGGCGTGGAGCACATGGGCATTCCTTCTTCTCCCCGAGATTCAGCAGGAGGCAAAGTCATGCCCGTACACCTCATGGGAGTGGGGCTTTGCCCTCTCCTAGTTGTCAGGGTCCACCCTGAACAGGCGCTGTGGGGGAGGCATGTACTCTGTTTCAGGTGACACACCCAGGCCCAGGCAGTTACTGGAGGAAAGATGATCCACCCCGCCTAGAGCTTAGCAGAAAGAGGAATTTGGACCTGCTTTGCTTAAACTGCAATGAGCAGTGACTGCACAACACAGATGTCAAAGGCCTTCAGCAATAAATGAAAGATATGATCCTAGCCTGTCAGCCCCACCCATCCCATTCCATGAGCTACATCATAGGAGCCTTCCTTTCTCATGGCTTCTCCTCCCCGCTTCAGGGTCAGCTGGCCATTATGGAGGGGAACCACAGGCATGACTCCAACAAGCCCTGTGTAGTATTGGGGCCTCTTTAGGCACTGACACAAACAGAAGACCCCTATATCAGCGATGGTGAGGGGCTGCCATCTTATTTTTGTTATCAATACTGGGGCAGCCATCAGCATAATTTGGGACGGGGATCCACAACATTCTCCCTGGTCCTCGGGAACAACCAAAGTCCTAGCCACATTTATAAACATCTGTGTAACAGTGAGACTTTCACGACCACTTGTAATTCAAGTGGGAAACACGAGGAGAGTGCTTGTATTTCCAAATATCAAATTACCTAACCCTTACAGTAATTTATTGGGATCAGATTTTTCTGAGTGATCTTGGAGGTATTGTTGATCTGACTAACCAGCTTTTGTGTGTTCCAGCAGCAAGGGAATTAGACTGTCGACTAGTGGTCATACCTGTGTGTGGTTTGGTGACACCAGTGGAAAAGCCAGTGGCCTGTGACCTGGATAAAGTGGTAGAGAAACATGCAAGACAGAAGGTGTTACAGGCATTGAGTCTGAAACTTGGAAATGTCTGTGCCAAACACAAGCATGATTTGTGGGCGTATGGTAGTTACCATTTTCGTGGATGGTGGAGACGTGCCTGCACAAAGACAGCACCCCTTTCTGGATAAAGCTAACCCCCTATACATGTTCCTATGGCATCCCGTTTAGAGCAAGGAGTTCTTCACAGATGTACATCAACTGCTTATTTACCTTTCTGGCTCACCCAGAAGCCAGATGGCTCCTCATGCCTTATCATTGATTACAGGCACCTCAATCAGGCCACACCTTCCTATACAACCACAATAGCTAAAATGGCAGATTTAACTAAGTCATTTTCCCCCAAGGCTGTGTGGTTTACAGTCCTGGATATAGGTAATGGCTTTTGGGCTTTACTGCTAGTCAGAGCGTCACAGTACAGGTTTGCATTTACCTTCCAGGCGGTCCAGTTCACTGGGGAAAGATTACCCCAGGGATATCATAACACTCCCACAATACTCCATGCCCAGCTGGAGCAGGTGTTATCATGATTTTCCCAACTTTCTGTTGTGTTTCAGTATGTAGATGACATCTGTCTAGTAACTCGGATGAAAGAAGACCATCTAGAGAGACTGGATGAGCTCTTACAGCTCCTTGAAGCTGCCAGATTAAAGTGTAACCCTACCGAAGCACAACTAATGGCCACTCAAAGTTTCTTTCTTTGGAATCACCTTGACAAGATGGGGAAGGACCCTTGCACAGAAAAAGGCAGGTGCTGTCCGAGCATTGCCTCTGCCGAAGAGGCTGCAGCCTTGCGGAACTTTTGGGCATTAACAGGATATCACTGGGATTTTATTCCTAACTAGGCCTCTACTGCGTGGCCTTTATACCAACTTTGGAAAAACCATGTAGCTTGGGAATGGACTCAGCAACACACGGAAGTATTGCCACTCAAACCTACCACAGTCCCCAGTGGAAATTGCTCTCAGGATCATCTTCTATCATTAGATACTTTTTCCCTACCCAGAAAGCCTTCAACATGCCCATTAAATGTTATTCAACAATACAAGACCAGAGTCATAATATTAATAGTTTTATTGTATTCTTTTATGATGCTGACTAGAACGCCAGACATAATTGTACTGGATGCAGGTATAAAAATAATCCAATCCTTAAAAATTATACTTTGCTACTACAGTGCTGTATAATTAGTGGAGGTTGCAAATATGATACAACTTTAAATAACACTGGTTTGAAAAATTAATTAAAAAACTACTCAGAAGCTAACATTCAGAGATATGAGAAAGGAAATCCAGAACAATGTAAAAGACATAAAGCAGGTCTACTGACTGTACATTCATTTTAATAATAGAAACATAAACAAATGTCACATCTTTGCCTTTTGCCACAGACTTTGCTGAAGGTGAACTTTACTGATACAATTCTGAAGACTATTCCAGCAGTAGTAATGATTCGTGTATCATGTTTGCTTCGTCTTAAGAAAAAGTCCTAGAGAATTTAACAGGGATGAAACCAATAGGTTTCCTCTAAAAACCTAAACCATTTAATAAGGGAGAATATCCTTCCTGTAAGTTAATAAGGGAAGATATCCTTCCTGTAAGTTCTTCTTTAACCATTCTACATGATTGTATAGCAGGGATACAATTCTCTATCAAATTTTGTAGGATTGTTCAAGAAAAGTTATCCTTTTCTGTTACGTTCCATAGGACTTTCCCACAGCTCACTGTTGTAGTTTTCAGACCTGTGGGCCACACCCTTCACTTATTACTTTAACAAAGCTCCCATTGATTTCAATTAGAGTTTTGCCAGAATAGGCACTCCAGGACCTCACCATTTAATTACTACTTCAAAAGAATATCAGGCCAATACTTCTCAGGTCTCCCTCATCATTAGGGATATCCCTCAGGTTGAACCCAAATTCCACGCATCACACATGAAATAATTATTGCCCTACTTGGAGCAAGGTTTTTACAAAAAAAAAGCCAAATAATTTAACTGGCTGAGCCATTTATTTCTTCTTTTTGGCTTATTGTTTTGGCTCATTTTCTCGCATCATTATGGGTCTTTGTCCTGCATTGGACCTTTGTGGATTCAGGGCAATGAAAAAATAAATATGATTTATTTGGCTCTGTGAAACTTACAAGACACACACAGTATATTAGACACAGCCCATCAACATTGGCATGCTCTGTGTTCTTATTTCCAATGGGGCATTTGAGAGTAAATTGGCCAGTCGTTTCTCAGTACAGGAAACACCATCTTTAGCCCTAGAAGGCTTTCGTATAGGAGAGATGTTGCTCAATTATTAAAGGTTTCCCCGCCTAAAACAACGTACGAAATTCTCATTCATTCTTTCTTTAAGAAGGTGCTCCAGATCTTGAAAAATAATGTATGTACAAGCTCACATACCACAGGGTTTGCTACACTATTAAGTACACATTTTAAAATTAAACACAATATTAAAGGTGGTAAATAGTCATACAAATGGCCAGAGTTGAAGTAATGCATGCAGTGAAGCACAATTCATCCTGAAGTTGGCGTGAATTGAGGCTTGAATCAAACACCCATTAAAATCAGTGGGAGTGTGTTCCCATTGACTTTAATGGCAGTTGGATTAGGTCCTGGGTCTGCTAAGAAGCACAAATAATAGCACAGAAAGAAGAACATTTAAGTAAAATATATCTGTTTCTTTTGATTTTAAGGAAGAAATCTGAAGATTAAACATTGACTAGAGGGAATGAGGAATCCAGATAAATTTGGAAAAGAGACTGGAACTGACAAGTGCTGGGAAGGAATCCCTATAAAGTACTACAGCATTCTACAGTAATGGCCAAACCCACTACATTTGATCATAGTGCTCGGGGAAAGTCCGGTGGAATACTGCAGGAGAAATATATATAATAAGGGAACAAGTTCCTATTTAGATGCATCAGTACAGGATTTTTAAATGTATTTTGCTCCTGATACCTCAGGCAAATGCACCTGCAGTGCTGAGCCCTGTCGGGGCTAGGAGGGGTGGAGTGCGATGGCATTAGACAGGGGTGTCAGAACTTTATAGGAAACGTGGCAACAGAACAAGGATGAATTGTCTCAGTGTTGCTTAATGTATTAGGGGCACAGGGCAAATTGCATTGACAGTTCTGCTCTTTGTTCTGGTTACGGCCCTGTTTAAAGCTCTGAAGTTCTGTTCGCACATTGCCACGTTCTACTGCAGACGAGAGGTTAGCAGCAAATCACACCAACAAAGCAATCAAGTCTCCTCTCAAATTTAGTGGTGGGTCTTAAACGCCCCCAATAGCCAGGCCAAATTTTGCTGTTCTATTCATCTTAAGTTGGCTGTCCCTCTGAACCTGGCTATTGGCGGCATTCAGCCCATAAAAGCCCCTCGGGCACAGCAGTGTCAAAACAATTGATAAGTCACCATAAAAAAACCCCAACCACATAGACAGCTTTTCCTACCAAGTAACAAAGTTGGTACTTTTTCAAAAGTGAATCAACACCCCACCTACAAGGCTGCCTGTTGGCCTGGTTCTGCTATGATTGGCCAAGCAAGCTGACCTAGCTTTGATGCCTGCTCCTGGTCTCTTGCTCTGCATGCCAGCAGGGGCTAGGAGACCTGCAGATGCAACATGCTAAATTTATGGTGGATGCATAAGTGGAGATGGGATAAACCTCATCTTGCTGAATCACTTGTAGCCTATTAATCAGCAATACTGAAATACTCTGAATGGAGTTCTATCCAACCCTCCTTGCTCAGGAGAATGGCGGCCGTGACACATGGAAGCAGTATTAAGAGTGGCCTAAATGTTCAATTTCAGGTACCTAAAATTAGGAAACATAACCACTGGAAAAACCAGGCTACCTTGATTTAGCTGTGTGTCTATGGATTTAGCTTAACATAAGGTGCCAAAGTTTGAAAACATTGCCCTAGGGGCTGAGGGTAAAGAGGAGCAATGGTTTATCATCTGGAACACTTCCATACCTACAGATAGGAATAACAAACAATGTACCATTAGTGTATGGGGCTTAGATACCAAGGTGATAGCGAGATAGAAATAGATGCAGTAGATAGAAATAGACAGGATTAGTGTTTTGTTTTTAATTGAAGTGAACAATGAAAAAAATGTATCATATCCTCGTCACATGTAGTGATGATCAGGACGGACTCTAGCTGTTGCATTTATAGCACTAAACACTAAGGTGCATTGCACCCAACTAGCATTCTCTGCATTAGCAGAGTTAGGATTGTGTCGGTATGTGGCAAAAATTGGAAAATTATATTCTCCGCATACTGTGTTTGAGGGGATCAGCAATCAGAAAGACTGGCTTCGAAGTGGCCTGTTTCATGGGGGACATTTTTGATAGCACTGGTATTCTGAAGAATTTCACACAAAAAGTGAAATTCACCCTTGTGCAGAGAGCCACCAGCAGCCCTATGCACTAAGTCCCACTTAAATTCTCTAAGTAGAGTTTAAGTCGGAATTGTATGAGGCATAGGTTGCATGCTGACTGTTTACACAGGGTAGATTTCACCCTGGCTGCAGATAACCATTGCAAATTTTCCTAAATGTTGCTGTGAGAAAAAGCGATGTTTCCATTTGCAACCAAGACAGAATGTACAGTAGCTCTATGAGCCCAAGAGTTCATTTAGGTACCAGTCTGAAAGCATGTGGCGTCTTTAAAGGATAAACACTAGTGTAAAAAAATATTTTCTTATCACTACCTGCTGTGCTATGTACAAAGGTTCAACAAAATAAAGATAAGAGTTCTTTCTGGAAAAATCCTGCAGCCATTACCCATGGACTAGAATCAATGTTTCTCAACCTTTTTGCTACCAGGAACCAGCTTGCTGCCTTCCTACAGTGTGTCAGAGAGATCTTGGGGACCAGTGCTGGTCCATGAACTCGTCATTGAGAAACACTCTTGAGGTCTCTCGCAGTCCTACATTTCTGTGATTCAGGTAATCCCGCTGATTTTAATGGGACTGTTCACATGATTACAGGCTGCAGGTATGCACCCAAACGGGGGTTTAGAAACAAAGACATTAAAATGAACAGTTAACAGTTAGAAAAGGAATACTTGTGGCACCTTAGAGACTAACAAATTTATTTGAGCATAAGCTGTAGCTCACGAAAGCTTATGCTCAAATAAATTGGTTAGTCTCTAAGGTGCCACAAGTACTCCTTTTCTTTTTGCAAATACAGACTAACACAGTGGCTACTCTGAAACTTAACAATTAGACTGTTTAGTGATCCAAAGTTGGAGTGATCCTTTCAGTTCTAGGTACTGGTCCTGCAGCCCTTACTCACACAGGTAGTCCCACTAACTTCAGTGGGACTGCTCATATAGAGCTCAACTCCTGTGAGTGATTGAGCCTCCTTAACTCTTAGTGAATCATTAGGAACTGAGCACTTTGCAGGATTAGATGCCTAAAGGCTACTTGTGTGAGGGCTGCAGGATCAAGTCCCTCATTTGTATCATCAGATAAGCCTATGATGGGATGTAGCACTAAGACAGCAGCCCCCAGCGAGGGGGGCAAAAGCATCATTCACTGAATGGAAATACTGATTAAAGTGCCAGGGGTTTCTAACAGCTATATTGAAAGTTTAGATCCTTTATCATAGAATCATAGACGTGTAGGACTGGAAGGGATCTTCAGAGGTCCTCTAGTCCATCCTCTGCAATGAGCAGAACCAACTAAACCTAGACCATTCCTGACAGGTGTTTGTCGAACCTGTTCTTAAACACTGCCAGTGGCAGGGATTCCACAGCCTCCCTTGGTAACCTATTCCAGTGCTTACCTATCCCTCCACTGTTACAATGATCAACACCCCCACAACATACCTTTCAAAATCCTACACATGCCTATCACAACATATGATGGTACCTCATCCAGTGCACTAAGTGCCCCAACAACAACTATGTGGGTGAAACCAGGCAACCACTACGCCCTCAAATGAACTCACACAGGAAAATGATAAAAGACAAAAACACCCAGTCACTTGTGGGTGAACACTTTTCACAAAGCAATGTGACCTTTCAGTCCTCGTCCTCAAAGGAAACCTGCACAACACTTTCAAAAGATGAGCCGGGGAGCTTATATTCATTACTCTGCTAGACCCTAAAAAACATGGACTGAAGTGAGACACTGGATTTATTGTTTATTACAATAATCTGTAACCCACTAACCCCTCTTTTTGTTAACAGGCCACTCTACGTTGAATGGTTCCTTACCATATGTACTAACTACTTATGCTAAACAATCTGTTCCACTTGCATTTTGCTGTGATGCTGGGAGTATCTTTTCCCAGACCCAAAGAAGAACTCAGTGTGGTTCGAAAGCTTGTCTCTCTCACCAACAGAAGTTGGTCCAACAAAAGATATTACCTCACCCACTTTGTCTCTCTAATATCCTTGTAGTTAGACAGTTTTTCCAATCATGTAACCTACATCTCCCTTGCTGCAGACTAAGCCCATTACTTCTTGTCCTACCTTCAGTGGACAAGGAGAGCAACTGATCACTGTCTTCTTTATAACAGCCCTATCTGACTGCTGTTATCAGGTCCCTCCTCAGTCTTCTTTTCTCAACACTAAACACACCGGTTTTTTAACCTTTCCTTATAGGTCTGGTTTTCTAAACCTTTTATCATTTTTGTTGCTCTCCTCCAGACTCTCCTCCATTTGTCCACATCTTTCCTAAAGTGTGGCACCCGGAAATGGGCACAGTACTCCATATGAGGTCTCATCAGTGCACAGCAGAGCGGTTAACATATACCAGAATGTTATTTGTCTTTTTTACAACTGCATCACATTGTTGGCTCATGCTTAATTTGTGATCCACTATAACCATCAGCTCCTTTTCTCACCTTGTGCAGTAATACTTTCTAGCCAGTTATGTTTATCTATTAAGCTGTTTTGTGTATTATAACTAATCACTAGAGTTTTCCTTTAAGTAGAGCTCCTTAGGCAGGAGCGGATTATGCAAGAATCACACCGCCTGCTTGTTCAGACTTGAGATATGTTAAATATTACCATCTGTGGCCTTGAGCCTGCACAAGGTAGGTATGAAGTTCAAGGCAAGATCAAAAGCCATAAGCACGGTGGGAAGAACAGGCGACGCTGACCCTGCATCACTGAGAATGCTGGTGCACAATCACATTGTTACTTCTGCCTATTGCTTGCAGCAGTAACATAAAAAGCAGAGTGCGCAGTTAAGTGCTGTATTTACACACTACGGATCACACTTAAGCAAATGTCTCCTCAGATACACTCCTCTGTTGCACCTCTCTTATCTCGCAATCTCAAGAGCAAGGGACAAGGCATGAACAGGGGTCTGAAACCTACTGCCATGAAGTACAGAGAAGGAGAGGTTACTCACCTAGTGCAGCAACTGGAGTTCTTTGAGATGTATGTTCCTGTGGGTGCTCCACTTCAGTTGCACCTGCGCCTTTGATCAGAGGTTTTTGATAGCAGCACCCGTTCAGCCCATATATGTGCCCCACACATCCTTGTACACCGGCACTAAGCCTATATGGGGCCGCTGGGTGAACCACCCTCAGTTCCTTCTCCACCGCAAGTCCCACAAAGGAGACTCCAAAGCCAAGGGGAAGGAGGGCGGGTAGTGGAGCACCCATAGGGACACACATGTCGAAGAACTACAGTTACTGCACAAGGTGAGTAACCTCTCCTTCTTCCTCAAGTAGTGTCCCTGTGGGTGCGCCACTTCAGGGGACGTCAGAGCAGTACACCCCTAAGAAGGTGAGAGGTTTGGACCAGGGTCCAATACAGAAGAGAGAACTGCATCGCCTACAGCCACCTCTGATCTTGCAGCAGACACCAAGGCACAGTGATTAGAAAAGGTAGGTGCCGAGGGTCATGTCACGCTCCACAGATGTCTACAATTGACACATCCTTAAGCCAGACTGTGGAAGGAGAAAGTACTCTAGTGGAATGTACTATCACTCTTGAAGGGGGCTGAATCTGACTTTTGTCATAATAGACTGTAATACATCAGAGATTCACTTTGATAACTTCTGTTTTGAAATAACCGAACCCTTGTTTCTGTCTGCAATGGACACAAATAGTCTAGGAGACCTTCTAAAAGGTTTGCTCCTATCTAAATAAAAAGCTAATGCTTTCCCAACATCTAGAGTATGCAACATGGCTTCTTGACTAGTCCAATGTGGTGCTGGGGGAAAACAAACAAACCAGGCAATTGATGGCTTGATTAATAAGAAATTCTGAGGACATTTTAGGTAAAAATCTGGGATGGGCCCACAGAGAGACTTTCTCTGTAAAGAATACCATAAATGGGGGTGGTGGTGGTGGTCCACCATTAAAGTCCCCAATTCTCTGACCCTTTGGGCAGAAGTTATAGCTATCAAGAAGAATGTCTTCACTGATTGATCTAATAAAGAACAAGTACCTAGTGGTTCAAAGGGGTACTTCATCAGGCAATACAGGACTAGGTTCAGGTCCCAGCTAGGAGTAGAGTCTCTGATTTGTGGGTAGAGATTCGACAAACCTCTTAGGAATCTTACCATGGCTGGATGAGCAAAGAGCGAAAAACCCCTTATGGGTATGTGAAAGGCTGTTATTGCTGCTAAGTTATAGCCTAATGCAGTTCATAGAAAGACCCAATGTTTTCAATTCCAGCAGGTAATCCAGCTGATGACTAGAATAGCCTCATGACAAGAGAAACACTTTTTAAATCCCAGGAAGCCTAGCAATCCCAAGAAAATTAACAACAAATTGATCCCTACTGAAGGGGGGAACGGGACTCAACACTAACTATATATATGAACAAAAATGTTTTAAATAATATTTTAAACTTTTTTGAAGAAAGAAAGAAAGAAAGAAAGAAAGAAAGAAAGAAAGAAAGAAAGAAAGAAAGAAAGAAAGAAAGAAAGCTGTTCCAACAACTACAAACAGTACATATTAACCAACAAACTAAATTCTGAATACAAGCAGAGAACAGGCACAATTGTAGACTCTGTCTCAGGCCGCAGGTGCTTGAGAAGGAACTGAGGGTGGTTCGTCCGCACAGCCTCATATAGTCTCTGTGTGGGGCAGGAGGAGTGTGGGGTACATATGCGGACCAAGCAGATGCTGCTACCAAAAATCTCCAATCAATGGCTTAAGCACACCTGAAGTAGAGCACCCACAGGGACACTGCTCTCAAAGAAGAACTAATGCCTAGTACTGAATCTTACTTGTGTGTCTGTTCACACTTGAGATGGGACACAACAACTTGCTGAGTGCTGGGCAAGACTCTTTAGGATCACAGGCTCTATGGCAAACAAACACTATTAAGTATCAGAGGGGTAGCCGTGTTAGTCTGGATCTGTAAAAGCGGCAAAGAGTCCTGTGGCACCTTATATAAGGTGCCATAGGACTCTTAAACACTATTAAGTGTCAGTTAATTGAGGGTCTGTCTTCACTATAGAGTTAACTCATGTGACCTTCACTGCAGTTACTGCTCTAGATTTAGCCTAGCCAGAGTGAGAGCAGTCACTCTGGGATACAGCACTCAAGTTCCTGCATCCACACTCATGCTGTACTCATTCATATGTGGCACTAAGAATTCTAAGGGCACGTTCCATTGTTAAGCGCTGCAGTAAGCAAAGCCGCTCTATAAATTCTTCCCCATGTATTATGGGAGAACTTGTCAGCCTTTTCTGAGCACACAGGAGGAATTGTGGGAAAGCATTGTAAGATTAGTGGCACTAGAGTGGAACTAGCCTGCATCCACACTGCAAAGAGATTATGTTAATAGCTGATTTGAGTTTAGTTTATACCCCACCTCAGATCAGCTAACTCGGGTTAAGGATTTTTGTGTGTGGAAGGGCATTGAGGTAGGGCCAACTTGAGTTATAATTTGAGTTCACTTTGCAATGAAGACAAACTCTAAGAGTATTTGATTAACTTGATCTTCACCAAGCACCCAACCCTGCACAGAGTGAAGTCAGAGAGCTTTGGATCAGACCCTTAGTTAGGAATGTAATAAATTATCAATTTGGAGCTTCTTCCTCAATGATCAACAGACATTTTTACAACAGCCAAATGTGATATCTTCAAAAATACGTATGTTCAGGGAAGCTACACAGTATTACCAAACAGGATGGGAGAAACAAGTTCAGAGTTTTTCAAGAATGAAACAATTGTGAAGTTAGACCCTATTGAAAAATGCAGAAAGACCTTCATAACAAATATTTTGTAGTTTTTCATGCAAATTTGTTGGTGATCATTCAAATTTTCTAGAATCACAGACTATACAATAAGCTTGTAAAAAATGCTTTTTAGTAAAAATGTTGAATTTTTTTGGGTCAAAATGTCACAAATTCCCGACCAGCTCCATTTGCAGTGACTAACTGTCAATCCAATGTGAATTGCCAGCTAATAGGACTGACACAGAGAAGACAGATGGAAGTCCTTAACAGTTTTTTTGTGATCCAAAGCCTTGTGCTGCTCCCACAGTCAAATGCATCTGGCCACAACAGGCCTGATTTTCTGATGTGCTGAGTAGCTCTGCAGCGCCCATTGAAATCATGGCAGCTGTGGCTGTCTGGATCCAATGCAAAGTCTAAAATTCATGGTACATAAATCCAACCAGGGCTATAATACTTCTGTTCTCGCCCACTTTCTCCCTGGAGTTCATTATGGCTACACACATTTTCTGCAAAGCAATGCGATCTACCTCAACAATTCTATGTTGTAATTTATTACTCCATTAATGAATACTTTATCTGATCTTGCTGCTTTTAAAAAGCATTTAAATCCCTGCTGGAGGTTGCGTGACTTACCACAATATAATAATACAAGCTTTGAACAACATTGCAGATCAGTGGGCAATACACTGTCACATGCAGACATTTCCAAACACAAAGGAGATTTTCAAAGCAGTGCAAGGGATTAGTTATACCTTTTCCCACTAAAATTAAGACAGTGTGGCTAAATCCCCCATACTCCTTTGAAAATGTCAACCTATGAATTCAGCCATCATTGCCAGATGCAGTGCTTAGTTAAGCGCTGAGACATTTGACAGAATGACACACCAATAAAGACAAATAATATTTAGTGGGCACCCCAGCTCCCTTGTTGCATAGGAAGCAGATCAAACCAGGGAAAGGCAGAGAAGGGTCTGAAATGAACATACACTTCCTACCCAAAAAGAGCACACACTGTATCTTTGAAAGCTGGCCAAGAGGAAACACACAGTAGTCAGACCAATATCTGTAATTTTACGATATCTGTAAACAAAACACTCCCTAGTGGTATCAATTTTAGAGTGCAGGCAACAATTAGTCTGTACTGATCTATTAACAAATTCATGTTATGTGACGTCAATGGCGAAGATAAAAGTGGAGCACGCACGTTAAGCTTCCTTATACTTCCACCTGGGTCTTTTACAGATTTGCATATTGGCTCATTCTTCCCCTCCATCTTCGCTACTCAACAACTACAAATGCATTTTCAAGGCAGCAATGCTCCGTGTTCTTTTGAGTTCAAAGTCTTTCCTGTATGTGAAGATTAAGACTGATATCGGCTGAACTGTCATGTGACAGAGTGTACCTGGTAAACAAGGACACGTATCTATGTTGATCTTCCACTCCCATACAATTATGTTAAAAATAGTCTCTTCGTCTGGTTTCGTCACTAATAAAGGATGGGTTATATTGTCCAGGGTAGATGCATGAATGTCGGGATCCAGGTAAACCAGTGTAAGGAGGATAAAGTCCATTTCTTTCCAGTTCAGCGTTTCTTAGGCCAGTTGCCTATAGTATAAAAAAGAAAAGGCTCTTATTCTGAGGCCTGATTCCTATTTCAAATGTAGCCTTAAAATCTTTTCTTTCTCCAGACTCAAGTGATGAAACAGACAAACACTTGAATTTGTTTGTTTTTATTTTTCTTGTCTGAGTTCCCTTTTATTTCAGGTATTTATTTATCTGATGTAAATTAGCATCGCTTCAGTGAAGTCAATGGAGCTATGTTACATAAGAACGGCCATACTGGGTCAGACCAAAGGTCCATCTAGCCCAGTATCCTGTCTTCCGACAGTGGCCAATGCCAGGGGCTTCAAAGGGAACAAAATGTTGATTTACATCAGCTGAGGATCTGGACCATAATTTTAAGCAATGATTGAATACAGTTATTTCAGTGGCTACACGGAAATGTCGTCATTTGAGATGATCTCTCAGATCCATCCCACCTGCTATTTCAGGATTGTTACTTGCTATTTTCTAGGGCTTTTAGTTGTTTGTTCAGTCTAATTTTAAATATCTCAAGCAACGGGGACGTGCCTAGACTTGATCTCTGATTCCACGATGCGCACTCTCAGAGCAGTGGAATAGCGGGACTCTGTGAGGCTCATTAATACATTCCATTGCTATGGTATATCCCAATAAATGTGCTCTGGAAAAACTTAAATTTACCTTGCAAATAAAATGCAAATCAAAACAAAGTAATGCTCATAGTCCTCTTATATCACTGGACAACATCATTGCAAAATATGGACCTGATCCTTCAGCATTTACTCACATGAGTAACCACATTGACTACATTAGATTTACTCACATGAGTAATGGTTTGCAGGCTCAGAAACTGTGCCCGCAAGACTCCCAAAACTCTATTCATAACCTCAGGCATTTGCTTTTGTCTTTTTGTCTTACATGCCATGCGTCCACATCTCAGGTAGCAAAGGATATAATATCTCTGGACCATCAGACAAAAGAGACAGTATAGATGGAACCCAGGAATAGATACCGAATAATATACATCCGTCATCTGCAGCAGGTTTTTAGTGCTTCCGTTTTCTTGCATTTCTATGGTCTCTCTGCCCCACTCCTGTGCTCGAGGATTCTTGGGGTACTCAGCATATGGCGACATTTGGAAATCCCCACTCTTGAAGATGAGTTTACTTATGTCATTCTTATTCTTCCTGTTTAAAAAAAAAAAAGTTAAAAGGCAAAACTGACCTTGCTGTCTTGTTACGGTGACGTGATCTAAGGAGATTTGCCCTGATTCCAGGCAGTGAATCATAGAATATCAGGGTTGGAAGGGACATCGGGAGGTCATCTAGTCCAATCCCCTGCTCAAAGCAGGACCAATCCCCAACTAAAGCATCCCAGCCAGGGCTTTGTCAAGCCTGACCTTAAAAACCTCAAAGGAAGGAGATTCCACCACCTCCTTAGGTAACACATTCCAGTGGTGTGAACCCAGACTGTAGGTGAAGAAAACTCCAGTTTTCTCCAATGCAGCTTATCACTGGAATAAGCTGCACTAGTGTAAAAATTGCAGCTTTTCTTCTTCACAGTCAGGGTTTGCACTGGTGCACACTTGATTGGAATCCCCAGTGCAGACAAGCCCAAACCTTGTGACTAAGGCAGGAATGACTTAACAGTGAGGGTAATTAACCACTGGAACAACTTACCCAGTGATGTGGTGGATTCTCCGTCACTTGAAGTCTTTACATAAGGCCTGTCTGTCTTTCTAAAAGAGATGCGCTTTAGCTCAAATACAAGTTATGGGCTTGATGCAGGAATCATTGGGTGAGAGTCTATGGCCTGTTTTACACAGGAGATCAGATTAGGTTATCATAATGGTCCTGTTTGGCCTTAAAAATCAGTGAATTGATGTATCTTAGTTCACAAAAGAGTCACGGAAGTGTCAAAAGTCAGGGAAAGGTCACAGAAAACGTGGAAATCAAGCTCCTCAAGTTTCTGTACATTTGAATAGACGTATTTTGCAGGTATAATGAAACTGCTTGGACCAATGCCCTAGGCAGCTGGTCTGAACCCCCTGAATCTCAAAAACATCCCTCCCGCAAACAACCCGCCTATCTACTGTATTTTATGAGAATCTCCTTTGGAGGAGATTTAGATCCAAAACTGTGTCCCCAAAGAGGGTGATATCCCAATGCTGAACATATATGCTACTGAGTGGATAGTCTACTTAAGGAAGGGAGGTGATCTTGTACCTAGATATGAAGACAAGGAGTCAGGACACCTTGGTTCTGTTCTTTGCTATACCACTGACATGCTAGGTGCCCCTGACACAATCATGTTACCCATCTACAGAACTGGTATCATAATACTTGTCTACTTCACAAAAGTGTGGTACAGTTTTAATTAATATTGTAAAGTGCTATATTAAATACACTGAGTATAGTTCTATTTAACTATGGGGTAAATCCTGCCTCTCATTCGGTGCTTAATTTGCAATGAAAGAGGTGCTGGGGCTCAAGCCTTTAGATATGGGCTTCAAGCAATTTTTTTACTTTCATAACTGACGCGGCAAGCCCAGAGGTGCCAGGGCTATGAACTGCCAAGCTTAAAGATGCTGGGGCTCAGCCCTGGCACAAATTAAGTGTTGCTCCCAGTCCATAGGTACAGAAGGCCTCCCGGCCAGGGTAATTTTGTGGTGCCAAAGAGAGGCAGCACTTGTAAGAACATGTAGAGGCCTGCACTTCATGTGTGATATGGAATCCAGCTCTGCAGAACCTTGCTACATGGCCACGAACAGGGTGTCTGAGCAGTGGGGCTGGGCTGGGGTTTGGAGGTGACCCACTACCCAAAATCCTCTAGTCTTTCCTATTGCATAAATTGTTTCTTTCATCTCAGCTGGAGTTGCCTTTGCAAGGCAGCTCCTTTGCTGCTCCATGGCTCGGAGTAGGCAGGGTTCCTTTATCTCCCCATCCCAATGAACATGATTCCCAGCAATCAGCTGAGTTACTTGGGCTGGCTCCTGGGGAAAAAAAAGATTTTCCCCAAAGTGTAAGTACAATATATCCCTTGGTATCTCCACTAAATATATTTCAGAGTAGCAGCTGTGTTAGTCTGTATCCGCAAAAAGAAAAGGAGGTCTTGTGGCACCTTAGAGACTAACAAATTTATCTGAGCATAAGCTTTCGTGAGCAACAGCTCACTTCATCAGATGCATCCGATGAAGTGAGCTGTAGCTCACGAAAGCTTATGCTCCGATAAATTTGTTAGTCTCTAAGGTGCCACAAGTCCTCCTTTTCTTTTTACTAAATATATTGTTTACACTAGGTTTTGTTCTCTGCATGTTTGGCCTTTCAGCTCTAGAGGTGAGGCACCAAGTCCTGTATAATCCATTAACATCAATAACACAGGATTGGCGTCTGGTTTATGATACCTACCGGCAGCAAGTGATGATCAGTGCTATCCCCAGGATAAGCAGAAGTCCCCCTCCTGCAGCTGCAATCACCACGGTGATTAGCTGATACGCTAAACACAAGAGACACAGGAGACCTCACTCACTGAGAAATGATAACATGCTTGTAAATATTTAAGTGAGTATACAGGTATATAGCTACATATCCATCAGGCAAAAGGATTAGGAATTATCTTCTCTTGTTCAATAATTATCAAATAGGACATTAAATTATGTCAAATAGATTTACCTGGAGCTGGGGAGTTTTGGAGGACAGAGTAGAAAAATGGGAACTGTTAGACATGGAAAAACAGGTCCCCATTTTGGGACAGTTTGTACTTATGAAAATATGAGAGGTGTGCAACGAAAAGTCTGCCAATTCACTTCAGATCATCTTTAAGCAGCAGTGATCAGCTCATGACAGACTGTACTTTTTCACTTCCTCTGCAGCATGGGGCATGGGTCCCCTGCAGGTTTAAACTAGTGTAAATGGTGAATTCTCTATAAGTTGAAGTCTTTAAACCATGATTTGATGACTTCAGTAACTCAGCCAGAGGTTATGGGTTTGTTACAGGAGTGCGTGGAAGAGGTTATGTGGCCTGCAACGTGCAGAAGGTCAGACCAGATGACCACAATGGTCCCTTCTGACCTTAAAGTCTGTGGGTCTATATGTGTGCAGAGGAGGCCTCCAAGAAGTCATTTGTGTAATAATGTTGAGTAGAGCTGATCGAAAAAATGGATGGAACACTCTTCCATCAGAAAATTCAGTTTGATCAAAATTGAAACTTATTGCAGGAACAAGAAGATCTCAACAAAATGTTCAATGGTAAAATTTTGAAATGATTTGTTATGACTTTCTTGTTTGTTTCATTTTGTTTAGACATTTAGATTAGATTACATTATTAATGTTTTGATATTATTAAATGAAACTATATGATGCTTTCAAATGAAATGATTTTTGAATTTCTGTTCTGAGAAAAATTTTGAAATTTCAAATTTTGGCCCAATTTGGGACTTTTTTCCACCCAAAATGTTGGAATTTTCTGACCAGCTTTAATGTTAAACAAATGACCACACCTGGTTCAGCAATAAAACTTACTACTCCAACTTTCTAGCATTGTGTAAGAGTTCTATTTTATAAAAAGTATAAGAATTTCTCATTAGTGCTGACTGGTAACTGTGATCCAAGGAAAATTCTGCCCAGCTAAGTAGAAGAACAAAACACTCTGATTGCAGTTCAGGCTGAAAACATATCAGAAATAGAAGAGGCCTGTGTGCCCTCATGACCCTAACGAAGAATAACGTGAAAGGACAAGAAGTTCCATACTTACGGTTTCTACAGTTCAATCCCCCTAAGCCGAACGGGCACCTGTAACATGAAAGAACTATGAGTTTTAAACATCTGAGCCTTAGTTGTGACAACATGTTACCAAAGCTATTTTGGGAGTGGGTGCGGAAAAGGGGGTTAGGTTAAGAAACAGAGATTACTATACCTCACACACGTCTCATTTTCAAGCCTATATCCATCTTCGCAAGCTAGAAAATGAAAGAGAAAGGTGATGAGCACCCCTCAGTGGCGAACTGTAAGTAGGTTTGTATTTATTATTTGTATTGCTGTAGCTAGAAGCTCTAGTCACAGACTCATAGAAGTGTAGAACTGGAAGGGACCTCCATATGTCATCCAATCCAGCCCCTGCACTCAAGGCAGGACTTGGGGCATGTCTACACTTAAAATGCTTCTTTGGCACAGCTGTACCGATGCCGCTGTAGTGCTTTAATGAAAATACTCTAAGTCTGTTGGCTTAGTCAGTCTACCTCCCCAAGAGGCAGTAGCAGTGTCAGTAGGAGAAACTCTTCCACCAGCATAGCGCTGCCTACACGGGGGGGTTAGGTTGTGGATTTTTCACACCCCCAAGTGACGTAGTTATACCAAGATAGGTCTGCAGTGGAGACCAGACCCAAGTAATAACTAGACCATTCATGACAGGCGTTTGTCTAATCGGTTCTTAAAAGCCTCCAACAATGGAGATTCCACAACCTCTGTAGGCTATTTGTTCCAGTGCTTAACCACCCTGACAGGAAGTTTTTCCTAATGTCCAATCTAAACTTCCCTTGCTGCAATTTAAGCCCATTGCTTCTTGTCCTATCCTCAGAGGTTAAGGAGAATCAGTTTTCACCCTCCTCCTTGAAACAACCTTTTAGGTACTTGAAAACAATGATCATGTCCCCTCTCAGTCTTCTCTTCTCCAGATTAAAGAACCCCAGTTTTTTAAATCTTTCCTCATAGGTCAAGTTTTCTAGACCTTTAATCATTTTTGTTGCTCTTCTCTGGACTTTCTCCAATTTGTCCACATCCTTCCTGAAAGGTGGTGCGCAGGACTAGACAACAAAATGGCAGATGAAATTCAATGTTGATAAGTGCAAAGTAATGCACATTGGAAAACATAATCCCAACTATACAAATAAAATGATCTAAATGAGCTGTTACCACTCAAGAAAGAGATCTTGGAATCATTGTGGATAGTTCTCTGAAAACATCCACTCCATGTGCAGCAGCAGTCAAAAGAATGCTGGGAATCATTAGGAAAGGGATAGATAATAAGACAGAAAATATCATATTGCCTCTATGTCAATCCATGGCACGCCCACATCTTGAATACTGCGTGCAGATGTGGTCGCCCCATCTCAAAAAAGAGACATTGGAATTGGAAAAGGTACAGAAAAGGGCAACAAAAATGATTAGGGGTATGGAACAGCTTCCGTCTGAGGAGAGATAAATAGAACTGTGACTTTTCAGCTTGGAAAAGAGAGGACTAAGGGGGGATATGATTGAGGTCTATAAAATCATGACTGGTGTGGCGAAAGTAAATAAGGAAGTGTTATTTACTCCTCATAGCACAAGAATTAGGGATCACCTAATGAAATTAATAGGCAGCAGGTTTAAAACAAACAAAAGGAAGTATTTCTTCACACAACGCACAGTCAGCCTGTGGAACTCTTTGCCTAAGGATGTTGGAAAGGCCAAGACTCTAACAGGGTTCAAAAAAGAACTAGATAATTCATTGAGGATAGGTCCATTGATGGCTATTAGCCAGGATGGGCAGGGATGGTGTCCCTAGCCTCTGTTTGCCAGAAGCTGGGAATGAGCAACAGGGTTGGATCACTTGTTGATTACCTGTTCTGTTCACTTTCTCTGAAGAACCTGGCATTGGCCACTGTCAGAAGACAGGATACTGGGCTAGATGGACCTTTGGTCTGAGCCAGTATGGCCGTTCTTAAGTTCTTACATTCGGCTGACTCCCTGGACCCCTTCTGGGGGGCTGTGTCTACACTGCAAAGCAATAAGGCTTGGATCCTGGTTCCCGGCTTAACTTGAGCTTGGATCCTCCAGCCCTGCAAGGTCCTGGGACCCTGCTTCTGAGCCCTGGGTTAGTGCAATTGCAGTGTAGACGCAAGGGGGGTTAGCTTGGAGCCCAGGATCAAGGGTGGGCTTATGTTACAGTGTAGATATACCCTTGAAATCTTCAGAGCTTGAAAAGAAAAGACAGGCAGCATCTCAGCTCTTTTCCAAACATACGCACACAAGCTGCAACCACAACAAAGCCTAAATGTCAAGCATTTGGGCCTGTTAATACATAATCTGAGATGGTGAAGGAATGCAGGAGCCACTGCTCTCAGTATGAGGCAGGAAATGCAACATATGACAAAGAAGAGGTCAATATTCACTGCCATGTATAGCAAAATAGAAGCACAAGCTCTTACTAACAAGAAGCTAGGCATTATTTCTGGCACTCCTGGTGCTTTAAAGGCCTCCCATCAAGAGAGCCGAGTACAATGGGGTCCTGGTCCATGAATGAGGCTCTACAAAATAAATAATAATAATAGGAACTCAGCTATCAGATCACACTGTGCAATTGCTATCAATTTTGGCCCATGCTTAACTTTATGCACAAGAGTAGCCACCTGTCACAGGGCAGTGCTTGTCTGGAGCATCCTCTGGTGGCAGTCTGAGGCATGACAAGCATACCTGCCTCAGTTTCCCTCCTTCAGACTCCCCAAGCTGTCTTTCTGAGTACGAATGGCCCTTGTGGGGTTCGTTTATTTAAAAATAAACCATCTAAACCATAATGAAACAAGACCCAGCCAAGTCCCACAACCCGAGTCCAGAGAGAACATCGAATAGAGCCCCAGTGTTATTTTGCCATGCCCCAGATCTCCAGTACAGCACCCCATTCCTCACCATGCCTCAGCCCTCCTGTACGGCTCCAGCATCCCTCATGGTGCCTCACTCCCAGCCTTCTGGCCCTCTAGCTTCAGCTCTCCAACTCTGAGAGCCAGCAGACATCTCCCTCTGTTGCTCTGAGCCTTCAGCCCTCTCCAGCCATGACTTTCTGGCCCAGGAAGGATGGCTGGCTATCCCCTCCATTGGCTTCCTAGCCCTCAGATCTTTTCAGCCTGCTGGCTCTGGCTTTGGCTCTTGAATAGTCAGCAGACTAGCTCCTCTGCTGGCTTCCTGATAATTCCTCCTCCTTTCCAGGGAGGGCCTGCAGACAGCTCTCTGTTGCTTTTCCCAGAGACTTCCTTCTGTCTCTCCCTGATCCTTTAACCCCCAGGTGCTGCCCTGTCCTCTTAATTGGCCAAAAGGGAACACCTATCCTGGCACAAGGGAGCTGAACTTACTTCAATGATGGGGGTGTGCCAGACTGTGAAACCCCCCAACTGCCTTCAATGGGACCAATTAAGTGCCTTGCTGGATTGGAGCCTCAGATAACAATTAGAGCTGGTCCAAATGTTTTTATGAAACACGTTTCCACCAGAAAATGGAATTTCATCAGCATCAAAACTTTCTGTGAGAATATGTCCATTTCAATGAAATTTTGTTTTAAAAATATTGGAAACGAAGCATTCTGATTTTTCGTTTTGAAATTTATATATATTTTTAGATGTCAGAATTGGAACAATGTTTCAATTTAATCAAAACAGAGCATTTCAAGTAATCTAAAACAGATTTTTTTTAAATTTTGTTTCTAAACTTTTTGTTTTTTCTGTTTTCATTCCAATTCAGTAGCACGGAGCTCTTTCTTCAGTTAGGAGGTCAAACTGCATGTCTTTCTCTAAGGCCAAAACTAGTGATGATGATCTGACAAGATGTGCAGTCAGCCACCATCCTCTAGCCCTATTACTTTTCAGAGTCCAAATGCATCATTTTCTTATGTTCTTAAACTGCACCGGCCCACTGTGATGTGATCAACCTAACCACACATCCTTGGACTCTTGTTGACTCTGGGCCAACACTTTCTAATTTGTACTTCCACCTTAAAGCAGAATATAAAGCATATGGGATCTGTAATAAGAACCCAAAGCTATACTTAAAGAAGAGACTACATGTGATAAACACAGCTGACCAGTGAAGGCCACTGCTAACCCACAGCAATACAACTGACAACATCTTTGTCTCCTAGCTCTATGACTGTTGTGTGCAGTTTGCAACGTACGAAATGCCTTTAAAGTTCTTGTGTAGCTGGATGAGTAGATATCTAGTCATAACACTGTATCTCTGTGTTCAGATATTTGGCAAGGAAAAGAAAAGTGTGTGACCTTAATCTGTACACAATTCAGATGTGTTGGCAACATCATCATAATAGACCAGGAGAATTCTATAGCAGGGGGATCTCATAACACCAATAGTAATTGATAGACTCCTCAATTTTAAGGCCAGAAGAGACCACTGTGATCATCTCCTGCATAGCATGGGCTATAGGATTTCCCTGAATTAATTTCTATTTGAAATCCAATAGCTGTGGTTTTACTGGAGCATATCTTTTAGGGAAACCTCCAATTTTGATTTTAAAATTTTCAGTGATGGAGAATCCACTGCCCTGACTGTTCAAAATTTTATTACTTCTTAAAGGTAATTTTAGTCTAAAATTTGTCCAGTTTATTTTTAGTCTAAATTTGTCTAGTTGTAATTTCCAGCCATTCGATCTTGTTATATTTTGTCTGCTAGAAGGAAGAACCCTCTATTATAATATTTCTCTTCCCCATGTAGATACTCAACCTTCTCTTTGATAAGATACATGGATTGAGTTCCTTGAGTTTACCACTGTAAAATAGGTTTTCCAATCCTTAATCATTCTCATGGTTCTTCTCAGAACATTCTCCAATGTTTCAACATCCTTCTTGGACTGTGGACACCAGAAATGGACACAGTATTCCAGAAGAATTGCACCACTTCCAAATGTAAAGGCAATATAACCTCCCTACCCCTACTTGACAATCCCCTGTTTATACATTCAAAGATCTCATTAGCCTTGTTAGCCAGTATTGCACAGCGAGTTTATATTCTGATGCTTATCCATCAGGATCCCCAAGTCTTTTTCAGAAGCACTGCTTCCCAGGATAGAGTCCCCCATCCTTTAAGTACAGCCTACACTCTTTGTTCCTAGATGTGTAGCATTACATTTGGCAGTATTGCTTGCTCCCAGATTACTATATGGTCCAAATCGCTCTGTATGAGTGACCTGTCCAAACTCAAT